AGTAGACAACCCTCAGACCATTACAGTTATCTTACAATTTCTTCTGCATGTCACAACTATGGGTTGATCTTCAGCCTTTGATGTCACTTTCCTTGCCCCAGTTTCCAGTCACTGTTGCTTCTTGTCAGCCTTTTTCTCTATAAACAGCAGGTCACTCCGTGCTTAGAAACATTTAACTTTCTGGCTATTTGGCGATGAGAGAGCCCCTCTTTACTCAAATTTTCGATTTGAGTCCTCTGTTCAATCGTTAGTTGTGCCTTTCTAGCCATAACATAAAATAAAAGCAAACATAAAAGCAACATGGGGTGGCATGGTGGTGCAGTGGTTAGCACTGTTGCTTCGCACCTCTGGGACCTGCATTCAAGTCTCCGCCTGGGTCACATGTGCATGTTCTCCCCATGTCATGGTGGGGTTTCCTCTGGGTACTCCAGTTTCCCCCCACAGTCCAAAGACATGCTGAGGCTAATTGGCATTGGAAAATTGCCCTTAGGTATGCATGTGTGAGTGAATGGTGTGCGAGTGTGCCCTGTGATGGGCTGGCCCCCCCATCTAGGGTTGTTCCCTGCTTCATGCCCATTGCTTCCAGGATAGGCTCCAGACCCCCCCGTGACCCAGTAGGATAAGTGGGTTGGGGGATGGATAAAAGCAACGTTTATCAAAAATTCTGACACTTCACCATTTCTCCCAAACTGTACTAAGTTACAGGATCTTCTCACTTAAACAAGTCTCAAAATAAAAGTCCTCTGTGACTGAAAATAAGTACAAATAATTAATTGAAAATGAGGTACTGTACACCCAACTTTATGACATTTTACTTTACCAAACAAGAGAAGGTGCAACGGGTTTAAATAATAAACCAAATGTTCCAGTATGTTTAAATTCCCCATGTAACACAATACTGACCATTTTCTCTTTTTTATTCGTCTGAAAATAAAAAGTCCTCAGGCTACAAACGGCGTTTTGTTAAGTATTTGACTACTTAATTCTTTGCGTGATCATAACGAGGTACACCAGTGATGGGAAAACGGGTGTTGTGCCGAATTCTGCACCCCTGTCGTGAAAATTCGGCACAACACCTAACCCTGGCCGATCGATCGGTGCGCATCTCTACTCATCAGATGCAATACAGTACATCAGCAGATCGAAATGATGAGCAGACAGCGCATTAAACCTCTCATATACTGTCTGAGAAAAGGCAGACAAGGGCTATCGCTTAGCTTAAGACACAATCAAGAAATTCCAAGAGCAGATCAAGATCTGGAATTAGTAAATAGAGTGCCAATGCATTAAAGACAGGTCTGTTATGTCTTCTTCAAAACCAATAATTTGAGCCGTTGTGGCTAATTAATGTGTTCCTACAAGCTATAAAATACTGAAAACCATTCAGTTATTCGTTTTAAGTATTTCTAATATTTTCTTGTATTAAAAGTTTGACAAAGCAGTGTATGTGTGTGTAACGTGTCAGCATTCTATTCAGCGATAACCTGTCATATTTGATGTCTAAATTAAATATTACATCGATAGCCATCTCAAACCACTTGAAGAACTCGGATGCCTTTTCTTAATTTACCCGTGTAGGACGCGTCTTAGTATCAGAAGACACATGAAAAATCGTCTTACCTGCACTAGAACAGTTAAAGTAAGCCACGGTTAAACATAAAATTATTTCCGCTTGCTTAAAAATAACATAACACATATTGTATTGTTAGCCCTAAAAAAGAAAGAAACCAAAAGTAATGAGTGGAAACGGAAGTTACCACTGCAATACAACTCCTTAAGATGTGAATAGTAATGAACAGCAGAGGACGCTGTTGTAATGACCGGGGAAGCAGGCGAGAGAGCCGTGAATACGATCAAACGGAGTTTATTTAGAGTTGACAGGACGACAGGGGCGCACACGGCAAACTCACGTCAATGACAGACCTATGGAAAACGGACTCAGACGCGGACTAAATACACAGGACAAGCCGAAAATAACAGGCAACAGGTGATCACAATCAGGAAGTAACACGAGGTAACGAGGTGTGCGTGGCACACAGGAGGATCGAACGAGCAGGTCATGACAGCTGTGTACATGTATTAGTAGTTCTCAACTGGATAAAATTTACAAACGCTCAAATTAATGCTTTATTCAAAAAATTTTAATAGAGTTTTTTTTTTTCCTCGAAGAAGCTGGTGGAGGGGAAAGGCGAGAAATCATTGTCACTTGGTTCAATTCTCTTTAACACATTGTTTAAAACACCATAATTTGGAATATTTGTTTTATTTTGTTGTATCTCTTAAAATGAGGGTCTTTTCAGTTATTAAGCGCACGTTTTATGGTTGTCAGGCTTCAGATGTTAGAGCCATTTACCAAATAAGTTTTGGATTTAGTTTTTTTGTTCATTAACATTGACCTTCTGTTTTGAGAGCAATGTCATAAACTGAAAAAAAAGTGTTGGTGGACGAATTGGCCTCAGTAACGCGCGGATTCACAGTGAAAGATAATGAACGGGCTTTTAATTCGTCTTATCTGTTGCATTTGCACTTTCAGAAAAGGGTACCAATTTGTACCTTTGCTTGTGACTGGGCCTGTACCCTCAAGGGTCTGCCAGTTGTACCCTTAGCTGTTGGTAATTATACCTTTTAAAGTACAGAAATGGACCCGACCATTTTTGTACCATTGATGGAATATTAATGTTGTTTGTACCTTGGGGATGTTCCTCAATCCATTTTGTACCTTAAAAGGCACAATTACAAGGGTACCGCTGCAGTGACATGCAAAGGTACAAATTGGTACCCTTTTTTCCGGGAGCATTGGTGTCTTTTACACACTATGTGCCTTGGTACTCTGTGACCCCGCTCTGTTACTTAACATGGTCTGCTACTTTGTGGCTGAGTATCTGTTGTTCTTAAATGCTTCCACTTTGCAATAATACTGCTTTCAGTTGAGCGTGGAATATCTAGCAGGGAAGAAATTTCATGAACTGGCATCGGTGGCATCCTGTGACAGTTACACGCTTGAATTCACTGCAGAATGACCTGTTCTTTCAGAAATGTTTGTAAAACTGACTGCAAACTATAATTTGAAACTGAAATCGTTTGGAAGTAAGTGAACACTTAACTTTATGTTAACAATATTTACTGAAAAAAATGGAAAAAAAAATCTTTAAATCATTTATACTCTGATGTAAAATAATACTTTTTAATCAAGCCCTATAAGTTGTGCTTGATAAAATGATGTAGGAGATGCTCATGGTCATGACTGAACTGCTTTGGACTTACAAAATTAAATATTCCACACTTCATATCCTGTTTATTACAATGTATGTTATTGTTAACCAGCACAATGCTGTAGTACGGACTTACATTCACAGTTTAGTAGTTCAGTGGAAGATCATATTCCCTTATTTCGTAACCGCAGTTTCATTTATCTGCTGTTTACCACTCCCTGAAATATTAATTGCAATATTGTAAAAATAAGTTCATAAGTTTAAATTCTGCACCACTATGAGTGGCCTTTTCACCCCGTCAAGCTTAATCTGTGACATAATATGTGACGTAATATGTGACTCGTGTCTAACCATACCCACGCTGTCCCGCCAAACGTCAGAATCTTGGGCATTAGAGATAGATAGAGAGAGAGAGAGAGAGAGAGAGAGAGAGACTACATTTATATAACTTTTATTACAGTATATTGTTATAATTGTTTTATTTTATTATTACTTATTGTTGTTGATGTCTTATTGTGTGCAATTTGTGAATTAAACTTTGTAATAGGAATGTATGCAAGGGCGTAACTTTGTCTGGAACATTGAGGGGGTTGAGGTCTCCACCCATTACGGGGGAAACATGATTATTGGGGGGGTTGTATTAGCTGGTTTTGATTTATTGGGGGGTACAACCCCCCCATCCCCCCATAATTTACACCCATTAATGTATGTATACAGAAAAGAAGTTGTATATAGACCGTTTGCTGTTATGCACAGTCCGGGGCGTCCATGGTAGGTCTTCGAACGTGTACCCTGTGGTTACGGAGGCGCTACTGTAAACCTTCTGATACAGATGACAAAATGTAGGGCCTACAAAGACATAAATAGGGTAAAATAAGTAATTATGGAGAGCGTTCTGTAAAACTGAAAAGGTTAAAGAGAAACCAGAGAACTGGAGAAACAGTTTGATGTCACGCACCATCTACTTCTGTAACTTGGGTAACTTACAGAAGATTTAACATTAAGTTTAGAGGGTATAATATTAAACAATGACAAGTTTTCTAGTGTAGAGTAATAACTACCAGCTGCCATATTCAAATGACAGCCCCCGTTGGAATACAGGAGTGTTGCCGATTCATTAAAGAGAAGGAAGTCCTGCTATCCGGTATTACGGCGACACACACACCAAGGAGCCGGTGTGCTCTGGGCCTAATGGAACGTTGAGGATCACAGGTCTATGGTTTACCCTGCAGTTCCATAAGTCACCATTTGATGGCAACCTATTATTATGCTGTTTATTTGATGCGATTTACAGTCCCATAAAATCACACTTCAGGTTCCGAGACACATGATAATTGTCTCTGGGACTCTACATGTCTGATGGAAAATAAAGGAAAGAAGTACACGAACACACAAACATGTCCTTCACTTACATCACAAAACAATCCTTCAAAGTAAACAGCGACTTGTGGCTACTCCATGCAGACAGGGTCAGGAAGTACAGTTACTGTTCAACTAGGCATTAGAGTTAGACGTCCATGGGCAAGAACACCTTGTCGTCGAGAGGTTAGAGGAGAATGGCCTGACTTATTAAAACTAGCAGGAGGATAAGAAATGTGAAAATAACAGCTCAATGCACCAGTGGTATGTAGGAAGGCTTCTCTGAACATACATCTCAGCCGTCCATGAAGAGACTCTGAAGTCTATTCAGTATTAATTATGTGTGTGTAATAAAGTGGCCACAAAGTGCATACCAACAATCAAGGACAATAACAGCAGTAAATGTCTTACTTCATTATTTTATGTATAAACATTGTTGTTTCAGGAAAAAAAAAGACCCGCACAGACACAAGAACAACGACTATGTTTTGAAATATTGCCTTTATTAAAGGAATAACACAGAAGTACACACTTTGCCCAGCTATTCATACTGAACAAAATCTCTGTGTAGCGTCTAATATCAAAGGGCAAGTAATTCCATTTCAGGATGATACATTAATGGAGATCTGAGATAAACATAACTGCATCTAGATAATAATAGCACAGCTCACTCTATTATAACCATGACAACAAAGTTGGCTACCAAGGAATACAAGCATCAGTGGTCATATACATTAATGAAATCCATATTCCGCAATAGCTAAAATAAAGCCAATGTGTTTTTAATATTTGAGGGAAAGGCCAGCTGCCAGATGTGTAAAAGCTTGTGTCGGAATGACCTTCGGGATCCTCCCCGCACGACCATGACCCCCCCCCGCTCCTGAGCGTGGCCCGTCAGGAGGCAAACAAGGCAGAGGAAATCTGTCCACTAGTCAGGAGATCCTTACTGGGGGGGGTGGAGCCCATTTTAAAAAGGGGTGCAGAAAGTGTGTGTACTGACAACACACACAGTGAGCTATCGAAAAAGACAATGAGTCCTTTTATGTTCATGTGAAAATTACTAGCTACAAATACCACATCTGATCTGCTCCATTGTCACCAGCTGCAAATTTTGGGTAATTCAAATGAATGAGTGGAAACTGCATCTTCTGCTTGTGCATATTTTCACATCATCTCAGTCCTGCTCCTAGACTGGGTACATGTACACCATTCCTGGTTGCTTTGTTCTATGATCATGACCACATCTGCAGCCATTATCAGGAAATGGGACATTGACAGAGACAGTGGTGACGCCGCTCACTCCCCCTGGGAAGCTGGGAGGGAGACCCCCACACGTGGAGAGAGTGGGAGCACCAAGAGTCCACGAGAGTTTGACAGGAGGACGGCAAATCCTCCACCAATCATCACCACTCACAAATGCTCTTCTTCCCGAGGCACCTCGACGGGGACCAATGGAAACTGCTGCTCTGCGAAATTTTTAAAAGACTACCAATAAAAACCAATGTCCTTGTGCAACTGCTACAAAAAAACAAAACACAGCCAAACCTATGATCACTAAACAAAGGAAAGACTCATGACTGAAAGCGAAGGAGAGGAACAGTTAGGGTGGCACATGCGTCAGAAGCTGCAAGATCTAGATCTAGCCGATTCACTTGGAGGAAGCCAAATCGCGACTAGGGCAGCCAACCGTGGGTGGAGCTGTCAGGGGGCACAGTGGCACCCGGAGGAGATCTAGCGCCACCCTTGTTTGTCATTTGCTGAGGTGGAGGAGGGGGGGGACTGTGCTGTGCCGAGTCGGGAGAGGGAGCCAGGAGAGGGGAGGGCGGGTATGCTTCCTCGCCGAGGCTGCTTCTGCCGACGGCGCCACCGGTGTCGCTCCTCCTGCTCGCATCCACCTTCCCGGCAGGGGAAAGCTGGCCGAGGGCATCGCAGAAGAGGCTCGGGTCGCAGCCACCGAGGGCTGGATACCAGCCGGACTCCACCATGGCCCGGCAGAGCTTCTCCCAGGCGCCGCAGGTGCTGGGCCCCTCATGCGCGGCCTGGCACAGCAGCTGGGTGTGATGCCGGAGCTGGGCGATGTCGCGCTCGCTGGACGCGCTCTGCCGCAGCAGCTCCTGCGTGCGCATGGTGATGTCCAGCAGCCCTGACTGGCTCAGGATCTCCACGGTGTTGAGGAAACGGCGGTGCCGGCCCGGATTGTGCTTACAGGTCAGCCTGGGGGGTGGCTGGGGGGCGGAGACTTCCAGGGAGATGGGCGAGGGGGGGGCTGGACTGCAGGGTGGTGGGTGACTGTGGTGGGGAGAGGGCACGCACTGCTGGGCATGGACTGTGGCACCACTGCTGCCCGGGGCACGTGTGTGGAGGTGGGGGGTAGGAAGGGGCTTGCTCTCATGCTGAGGGTGATTGTGCTGCCTGAGGTTCTGTGGGGGCATGGACACGAGCTCCCTCCGGTCCTCCACACGCACCCGCTTGCTCAGACTATGACCCTCAGTGCTGCCTTTACTGCCCCCCTTGTTCTGCTCTGGGATTTTCTTGTTCGGATGGGGGGCAATGCGAGGGTAGGAGTTCAATATAGGGAGGTAAGAGCCCTTGTTAATCTTGCCACCACCAGCTCCTTTAGACGGCTGCGTCTTGAGCAGCTGCATGGGGGCGGGGGAAGAGGCAGTGACTCCCGGCTGCGGGATGAGCAGGAGCTGTGTTGGGGCCTGGCCACTAAGCCCTGCACCCCCCCAGGCAAGCTGGGGATGCAGCAGCTGATCAGGGCTAGGCGGCACCGGGAGGGGCTGTGATGGAGAGGAGAGGCAATGGGAGGGGAGGACAGGAGCA